TTCATCATGATGTGAATCTACATCAGTAAATCTTTACACACTGGGTGGCTTCCTTAGATGCTATTCACATCTGAGTTAATTACGGAAATGCAAGCAAACTGCTCCTCAATCTTATTACATGAAGATATAAAGGTCATGTGCACAACTTAATCCTACCAGAAGAGGAACTTGTTTTCTCATTCTTTGAAAATGTCAAACTACATTTAAAAACTGAAGAATATATAGCAAAGAAAAATATAGAGTGCATATATGTACTCATTTTTATGTGGAGAATAAGGATGTAAGGAGAAATATTATACACACACAAAATTCTCACAATAATACCCTCTAAAAATCAGTAAAAAGTGAAAACTTATTAACCAGAGTCATTATTTGGAGCCATGCAAACCTTCAACTTTAGCTTTTAGGAAAGCTGATTTATTTAGAATAGTATATAGACTGGAAATTAATACTGTTATTATAACTTATAATACTACAATGCAATGAAAGATAAAGTGATAGTTTTTTATCATCATACCTCTTTTGATTATAATCACATGCTAATTTCTAAAAAGATTTATTTTCTGGGATGGGCAGAATGTACAGGGCTGTGGTGATGGCGCACGGATTGAATTGGTGGCAGGAAGCCCATGGGGATTACAACTGAGATGAAAAAAAAATGCACAAAATGAAGAATGATGTAAAAAATAAAAAATAATAATAATTTAAAAACATATAATAAAAAAGACTTATTTATTTATGCATATAAGAATGGGGCTGTAGACCAGAGTTGTGGAGATGGAGGGTTTACCAGTTACAGAGCCAGGAGCAGAACAGATGGTTCTACGAAATACACTTCTGAGGGGAGCAATGGGTGAGACAGAAGAGATTTGATACGCCATGTCCATCAGCCTCTTGGCCGGGTATCAACTCGTGCTACAGTGTTTGTGGATAGTTTCATAATGCTGAGACTCAACCCCCACACACCAACAGGTAGGCTCCCACTAGATGCTAATTTTGAATTCATTTAAATATATGGCCAAAACAATTGCTGGTTTTGTATTTTGTAAGTTGACAGAAAGAACTTCTTGTCCATTGTAATTAATGAAACAAATGATTTAAGATCTGTGGTAGAATAAGGTAGTGGACACTGACATATACACGAGATCCTCTGTGTGGACTGATCCCATTGTTGGGATTGTAGGGGGAGAGATTCAGTCTCTCTCCTGGATTGGCCCTCCAAGGGGAGAACTGCCTTGACCCAGCTCACCCAAGTCACCAGCACAAAGGAGGACCCATTGACTAGTCTCTGTGGTGGTTAGAGATTTGGCGGCCTACTTCTCACAAGATCAGCATGCTCTGAAAGACAGCCTGGGTCTGCCACTCCCTGTTGAATAACCCTCTGTCATAGCTGTACTGCCACTCAGTGTGCCCCCTGGCCCAACGCTATTGCCTTTATTGTTATGGAGACACTGTTCCTAAGGCACTCTTTTGTGCAGGCCTGTGCCTGTCAGAGTTGGTTTCATGGAGTATTCACTTAAGAAAATCTCAATTTTTTTAATAGCTTTTTTTTTTTTGGTAAAAAGAAAATCTCTTTAGACAAGCTTGGAGAGGAAAGATTAATGTAGAAAATTGTAATAAACTTCCCCAGGAATTCTCTATAATGAGTTTAATTTGACATCAATTAATTAAACATCTATGATATTCTAAGCATTGTGCTAAGCACTAAAGATTCACAGTTAAGTACAACAGAAAGTTTTTAACTGTTTCCAACAAGATTTTTTTTAAATATATTTATTGAGCTAATATTGGTTTATAGCACCGTCTTTAGGCTACAGGTTCACAGCTTTATAATAGTATCAAAACAGAATTCTTGATCTCACTTGCTCACTGGCATGAAACACAAATACTACAACAGGGAAATAAAATTTAAACTAGGCACGGCTCATATTACGAGTATAGACAAACTACTCTGAAAGGAATGAGTGAGGCAGAATAAAGGACTTTGAACACCATCTTCCAAAAGGGTCAGGCCTTTTGAGTCATTCTTCAATCACATCCCACATCCAGTCTTTCAACAGTAGCAATTTCTCTGGCTTTTAATATATCTGGAAGCCAGTTCTGTTCAGTCCCATTGCTTCAGTCTATACTAACCTAGTGGTTTTCACAGCAGCAGCCTCCTAGCTGGTCCTCCTGTTCCTTCCCTTGCCCCTGACCATCTATTATCCACACAGAACTAGGTGATTCTGCTACAATGAAAGTCAGATCATGAATTCCACTGTTGAAAACATTCCAAAGTTCCCACCTATCATATGTATTTTTAATGTAGTGACTGATGGAAAGGTGGGAACAACTGAGATATAGCATGTATTAATTAAAAAGCAACCACTTATTTATGAAGATGCTAGTAAGACAGACATTCAAAAGCTAAGGGCAAATAAAAACTGACTCTAGAGAGAGGCTTTATTCAAGTTAAGGTTTAATGTTTTTAATAATATGCCTCTGAAAAGTGGTGTAAGAACAGGAAACAAAAGTTAAGGCGATATGTGATGCTTAAGGAGCCCACACCCATAACCCTGAAGGCTTCTCCAGGCTCCCAGGGATTCTCATGCTGAGAAGTGGTGAGTCTCTTGTCTGCAGAGGGATGAATTCAGGCAGTTTGTGACTGGTGCGGCCCACTCTGTCTTCCTGTGTCCTGAACATTGCCAAGAGGTTTGTTACCTACTCCCTCCTGCTGCCAAATAAATGAT